ACAGCCTAGGGCCTCAGTACAAATGAAGGTTCTTCATATTCCTGAAGTGTTTTCTAAAGAGGAGTAGATTTAATAACTCTAAAACAAGCAACTAAGCATTACAGCCTATTTGCCTGCCAGACTCAGAATCCCAAAGCACAATATTTCTATTTTGACAGTTTAACTGCTCAAGGTAACTACTCTAACTGTTAATCCAAACTCTAAGCAGTATCTGTCATAGTCATCTTAAAACCTAGCACAAGTCTGGTAAACTCACAATTGACTCCTGACAGTGTTCCTACAGATATTTACAGTAAAGAGGGACACGAGGGCTCAGGAGAGCTCAGGAGCAAGCAGATTAGGTCACAGGCAAAAAGGCCACATTCTACTCATTAATGGGGCAGTTAAGACTAGCAGGAGTCACCCTTAACACTGTTCCAAATCCTTTATTTATTTTCATTTCTATCTGAAGAAAGAATTCTTACTCAAGGTGAGAGCCCAAAATCATGGCAGTTCAGCACTACCACTTCTGTAGCTTTACTGTCATATTCTAGAATTGTTGCTGTTTCTTCACATTGTGTTACATGCAGGGCTAATCCTCCTAGGACAGAAATGTACTTTCTGGATGGACTGGTGCAAACTCCTCTCGGGTCACATTTTACAAAGCCTCAGAAGTAGCGTTTAATCCTTCAGAGACACATTTGTTTCACATTCCACCAAACTGGCGATTTCAGCATCTCTAAAATCATTTGAGCAGGCTTGCGGTAGACCTAAGAGTTCTTTCCCAGAAGTTTTCAAAAATATGCCTCCTTGATTAGAACATGTGTGAGAGCTGGCAGAAGAGCCAAGGAAAAGTGAATTCAGTATTATTAGCCTTTCCTCCTCCTCCCATGTAAGCTCAGTTTAGCTCTTAGGAAACAGCACTAAACTATTGCCCTCATTCGGGTGCAGCAGTTGTGTTATCCCAAAGGAGGTCGATCAAGGCCTAGAGATTCCATAAGCTGGAAAATAAGTCCCCCAGGGACTGTACCTACCATATGTGAACATTCGTGGAGAAGTGAGCTCGATGTTTGGTAAGGCTCCCAGGTGGTTCAGGACAGCACACCTGTACCCATTTTTTTGGGCATAGTCGACAAAGGTGCGGATGTACTGCTTCTCACTGTGGTTGGCAATCCCCGGGCAGATCACCATCGTGACATCCTCTGTGCACAGAGAGAGGGTGGGGGGGAAGTTGAGTAAATGTCACTTCATGCAAATGAAGAGGCTCAGAAGGTTTCCATTCCAGATCCGTGGGAAACCATCTACCACACGCAAGCTAAAATTCCTACTAGTCTGCCAAAAATCCTGCACAGGACAGGAGACCAGCAGCTCCAGCGCTACAGATGTGAAAAAGTAATTCATGTTATGGGAGATGAACGGCTTTTAACTTCAGGGAAAGCTGTGCAAACAGTTCTACAGCCACTGCCTAGAGACCAAGAGGATATTCTTCCCTTTGATGGACATTTTTGACATTATACATGTTCTGCCTTCTGACTGCCTGCTGTGACTGCAATGTGCGTGGAAGGTGTGGAGCCCAATGCTCATTCATGCACCAAGTAGTCTGGTTATGCTATTTTCCCCTCATTTCCCTTCCAGAGCTGGGTGTAATACAGATCTCTGAAATGCAGCTTTGCTAAGCACAGACATTCTCATCAGCTGACATTAACCACCATCTACTTTGTGGCTAATCTAATGATATTTGATCTGCTGACACTGCTCACTACTTTAACAAGATACCATTTCATCAATAAAGAAAGTAATTGTTGTAATTCAAGTAACCACAGTAAATTAGAGTCAGGATTAGCATATGCTCTTCAAATTAGCTATCACTCTCATGTGCAAAGCACCAACATTACCAGCTCTAACCACTGAATTTTTGCCTCATTAGAAAAGCATTGTTCAGATTCTCTTCAGCTACAAAGATAACAGTATCTGCTCTAGTGCAGCATTGTACCACGAGGATCTCAACACCGGCAATTAAAAAAGAAATCTGCTTTTTCTCAAGGCCAAATGGGAGTCATGGGCTCTATCCTCATCCGTCCCCCAGAGCGCAGAATCAAGGTTAGCAGCCAGCAGCTGTTTGACTGACCTCCAATGCAGTGCTCAGACCGCGGCTCGAAGAGATCAAACGTGGCTGTCGCTCCATCTGGCATCGTGAGGTACTTGCGAAGTCCATACGGATGTGGTGATCTCACTCTCCCCATTTTTCCATAAAGGGCAGTCTGGATATGTCCACTCTTTCCCCAGATCAGGGGTGGAATGTACCTGGAAGGCAGTTAATTTAATTGCTTGCCCTTGCCGTGTCAATGATCCTTTAAGAACAGATAAGCACTCCCATAACAAATCTCTCACCAGTTACCAAATATAGTAACAGATATGGAATTGTTTTTGCTATGATTGAACTGGCAGCAGTGATCTTTGCAGCCTTACACAAGAGGAGAAACCAAAATGCTCTCAAAGCTGAAAAAACCAGCACTGATAGCAGCAGCAACAGCAGCCAAAACCCTGACATTCCTCTATATTGAGATGTTAGAGGCACAAAGGCTTCTCCATAAATACAGAGAGGCCTTGTGCCTCAGTGAGATGGGACTCTATGTTGCCAGCCAACCAAAGCGACCTCTAGAACTGTAAAGTGTTGTAAATCTGTTTTAACTGAAACACTGAAGCCTGCGGGGTCGAGCCACATGACCTTGTGTAAGCACTTCCCCACACAAGGTAGTAGAAGTTACAGGATTCACAGCAAGTTTAAGAAAACTGAAAGCCCCAAGATTTGCTGGTTGGGACTGTGTTACACAGAACTGCGTTACTAAGTTAAGGAAAGAACACAGGACAGGTTGATTTTGCCTCTCAGAATTAGGTAAATTTGGGACAGTTTTAAGAGACCCATTCAGAACTGGCCAAGCTCTGTTGAATAATAAATCCCTTTCAATAAGAGGGGTGAGTCTACCAATTATTTTTGTTTATCAAGGGTATATTAAAGCTCGGTGACAAAGCAGATTGTCTTTTCCTGGCTTACTGGCCCTCAAAATAGATTCGTGAGAAACACAGCTATGAGCTGGAAAGCATTGAAGGCTTAGTTATCTGGGTTTTTTTTAACACAAGCAGAGCTGCAAGTGGTGTAACAGGAACCATACTGTGCCCTACACCACCACCATGTGGCACGTCACCTGGTCACGGCAAAGGAGACTGAGCTGATGCCTCGGAAGAGACAGTTACATCAGCTCTGAACAGGAAAGCATGAATGATTATTGTTTAGAACAGCAGTCCCAGGGGACACACTTCCAATCAAGAAACTGTGGTCTCTGCTACACAGAGCAGGGTATCCAGAAGAAGCTCTACAGCTGCTGACACCACCCTGGATCCTGAGAGATTAGCAGCTCCCTCCCTGTTGTGGTTAGGGCTTCCAACAGTTATTCACTTTGACTTCTTGGGACCAATGAAGCAGAGATCATGTTCTTCTCTGTCCACAGAAAACTAGGCATCTCAGGACTCAAATTTACTACTTAAGCCCATAATCCACTAGAATGTGACTGAAACCTTACCTTTGTGCTCTGACACTACCTACTCACACAGCTGGACCTTCCCCATGACAGTTCTTATGCGTCATATCCGCAAATTCCTCTTCCCCCACACACTCCTTAAAAAGACTTCCTATAACATAAGAACTAATTAGGTTTGTTTTGCAAGACAAGAGTGCCAGAATGCTCCTTCTCCCTGTTCTCTTCCCTTATCTGTGAGGGAGGTTTCTTACAGTCAAAGAAACACAGCAGTTCACTGGAGTTTCACTCAAACTTTTGTAAGTGCACTTCCCAAAGAAACCCAAAATAGATTCCTATAGAAGCAGCTACCACTTCAATAAAGGTGAGCATCAGCTGGCAGCTTTTGCAGCAACCTTGTAAACTGGCCCTCAGTGCATCTTGGATTTGATCACTCAACTATAAAGCTTCTCAAAGGATCCACACAAGACCAGTAGCACTACCCTTCTTCTGTCAGCCCAGCATCTCTGCACTGGGTCTTGCCAGGCACCACATGCAGCTGTGCAGATTCCTAATGATGGGGACTGTACAAGCTCAAATAACTGGTAGAGGTGGAAAGCAGTCAGTGGATCCACTGGAATAATGCAGTCAAACTGAGCCAGACTGCACAAGAACCACAGATGGTTCTGCTCAAGTCACATACAGCTCAGCAAAGAGGCTTTGAACACAGCCATTATGCCAGATACACTGCTTTTCTAACACGAGCAAAAACAGTGGCTTCACCCCAGTTGTTCCCCTTACCACCAGTTCAGGTCAGTAGCCATACTCCACACTACACTGTGCTTGACTGCATTTGTATTTTTTCCACAGACACCCTTTACAGATGGGGTTTGCTGGCAGCTTTTGAGCAGAGCTGACAAATACAACCTGTAATAAGAATTTGTAGCTCTTTAAGAGGAGACTCAAGCGTCAACATTGTTTCATGCTTTCCAATCTTGGGTTAAGCATATGCATTGGAAAATTTTGGCAATTCTGCTTCCGTACAGTGCTTTTCAAACCAAAGATTATCCCAAAGTCTTACCCCATAGGGCTAACAGGAAAGCAATTTCTCCAGCTACAGCAGCTAAGCTATATAGCTGTCACTCATTACTGCTACCATCTTGACAGAAAGAAAATATAAGCCAAAAACCAAGGATCTCTGCAAGCACAAAACCTTTCCTCATGTTTAATCTACAGTTCAGTTTCCAGCTATAGGTTACAGTCATCCATTGGAAGAGATGCAGCAGCAAATACCACAGGATGTTTTTAGAGAGGAAATTAGAAGTCTTCAAAGACTCATCACTACTGCCAGAGTTTAAATTAAGACAAAAGGCTTCAAGCATACTGCTTACCAAGAGTGCACTGCTTACCAGTCTGCCTCCACAGATGGTTTCTCTGGGGAAAGAGACCCCCAAACTTGACTTTGAAAAATCCAGCTGGAGGTTACCTAAGTATTGATCTGCAGTAACTCAAACCTTTATGCTACTTTTATGGGCAAAGAGCACATAAAGTTTTGTTGACACATTCTTCATTTAGGGCAGGAATCCCCTTTGCGTATCCCTAATGGACAAATGATATCTACAGTTTCCATGTCTCCCTCAAAGCTTAAACTGCGTGAAGCCCTATGGACAAGGGAACATTCACTGTTGCTCCCTTCAGAGTGAACAAGTGTTTGAGCATCCTATGGACCAAGTAAAATGCTCAGCTTATCTTTTATGATGCTAACTCCAGTCAGCTGCTTAAGCATCACACTGCCCGCAGCAAAGATGGCTTGTGTTAGTCATCCTGCATGAAACTGCACTCTCAAATAAATATTTAAAGGTCAAGACTCAGCATGAGTAATGTGCATAGTACTCTGATGCAGTTTTGTTACTCTTATTTAGTAATACTTAAGCATGCTAAGTGTATTTCTACAGTTTGTACTTTATTTTAAACCAGTTAAAGCTCTGAAATACATCCAAGTGTTTGAGTAGCAGCTTATCTCACTGACATTTTTGTTTAGGTCCATCAACCTTTAAGCAACAGGCTTGTTGTGAGGCAAAACACATCCCTTAGGTATCCAAGCTCCAGGAGATTGAACAGGGAGAGGGAAAGAAGTTGCTTAGATCATACAGATCTTGTATTATCAGTGAAAAACTAAGATTGATTAAAATTTATCTTACCAGACTGATGCACAGACAAGCAGCTATTAAAAATGTTAATTTTTTTTACGAAGACAAGCTGCCAATCTAAGGACTGTAAAACCCAATAAAGCACTTACAGTGATTCCTCTCTATCACTGAATTCAGGTAAAATCAGTTAAAGACAAGGTATCCTTATAATCTATAACAGAATCAGACATATGATCTGTCACACCTTCTGTTGACCCTCCATTTTGGCAATGGATAAATCTATTTTGTAAATCTACCTGTAAGTGACTTCTATGTCTTTCAGTGAGACAAAGTCTACAAGAACTTCCAAGACCAAGTACTAAGCCTCATAGTGCAAGACTGTACAGGATTGAAGGACTAGACATCTTTTTATAAAGGGTTTGTGTGGACTTTCAGCTTGCATTTACTAAAACCATTCAAAGAGGAAAGCATAGAAAGAACTCTTCAGCCATGAAGGTGCACAGTACCACACTGGTGAGGGAGAAGATTTGCCAGGAATTGTGCAAAAGCCTTCACCTCTCTGAAAGGACAGGTCACATAAGACAAAATTTATTTAAGCCTATTATGTGAGAAACAGTTCCAGAGACACTTCCATACTCAACCCAGCTGAAAAAACCCCAGTGCTCATAGCAATAGCTAGCACAGATTGTTTTGTAGTGAAGCCAACATTCCTCATGGCAAACAGCTGAAAAGAGATGCTCCTCCAAAACAACATCCTGCAGACAAGAAGAGAGTGTACTCAGAGTATACTTCTTGAGGCTTATCTTAACAAAACGAGCTCAACAGGATGCAACACAACCATGGAGACTGAGCAGCTAAGTAGTATTCAGCCTAAGGAGCATTTGAGCATTGCCCTTCAGATTTTATGCTCATACTATCACTACTGCTAAATTTAACCATGTCTTTCAAACAAGGGCCCTTCACTCAAAAGCAGTTGGCTGGCTTCCCTCCAGCACTGATAATCAGCAGAAACAGAGAAAGTGTTCAAAGACTTCAACTCCTCTATGTCTGCTATAAACCAAAGTGGTTCTGAACGGTAGCGTATTGTAGAGAATACTCCAGCACAGCAAACTTCCCCGTGTGGAGATGACTCACTATGTATTCCTCAGTATCCTGTTCCAGTGAAGCTGCTCACAGATGTACAAGAGCCCAGGCACAAACAGTGTCTATAAGCAGCATTTTCACTGTTCTGCAATAGTGGGTTATGGTGATAGCAGCTGAGCAGCCAGCTGGATAGTGAACAGCACTCAGGAAGACCTCTTGCCAAGACCTCCACACAAGGACAAGGATAATGTACCACAGTAACACAGAGAAGCAGGTACTGATAAAATCCGAAGTCGCGTTGTGCTAGAGAAGGATATTTTTATGTCTGTGAAACAAAAATGGTTTCCCAGTTTGCTCCAGACCCAAAGGCTTTTAACTGACTCATTTTCCTGTTTTGATTTGGTTGCAGTAGACAGCAGGGACTCTGGGTAAAGATAAATATTTGAAGCAGTTATGTCTTCCAGTAACCAGCCCTATAACTTCCCGTAAGAGGATTCTGCAACAGAAGGCAGACAGGAGAACAGGCCTGGGGATGCAAGTTACTTATTATGGAAGCTGACTTACATGGCACAAAAGTACAGAGTTCAGTCTTAACTGGCTGAGTGAATTCACAGCCAGTTACATAAATCTGCTCACAAATGCTAATGTTTTAGCTCCAAATCTGCATTTCAACTGTGCAGCACAGCCCCACATCTTGATAAGTGGCTGCACACAACAGCACCCAACAGCAAGAGAATTCCTAGGTTTCCCACAAATATTTCTCCTAGCATTTTAATATTTAAAACAATTCCAACATGTGATTGTTGATTAAGTTTAGTGGCTCTCAGGCAGTAGATTATAATTTTAGAGCATGTACATCACTCAGTATGCAGGAATTTAGGAAAGCAGCAGCTGTATAAGCAGCTCACACAAAGCACATAAAAACTGTGCTATTTTTATTAGCAAGCATCAGCATTCAGGTCCTCAAAGATCTGAAGTGGAAGTTCAGCAACAGGCTTATTTCTGGAGCATTACTTCATTTCATCTGAGGAGATTAACACTTTAAACATTAACTCTTGCATGGCCTTTGATGTGCTGTAGTACCTTGGATACCGATGGTGAGAAAACACAGCCTACAATTTGTCCATGTCAGGGCACCCTGAGAACTGCTGCCAGCCTTACAACAGGTGACAGATTATTTTTTCCCCTCACTTTATTGAGCAGTTTGGAGGTATTTAAAGAATGCATTACAAAAATCAAGCTTAGTTTGAACCTTATCCTTTACTTGATGCGAGGGAATGCAAGTTGAATTCTGATCAAGAAAACTTGTCTAGAAGTCTGCAGGGTTCAACCTCCTCACACAAATACTTAGAGAGCAGCTTCTTCTGCATCAGCTCATCTAGACTGCTCAATGAGACGAAAACAGAGCAAATATGTAAAAAAAAAAAAAAATTAAGCAGCTTAAGGAGCTTCCACGTCCCCTGAGCCTCGAAGAGGAAACCACCAAGTGGAGTAGAAGTGTTTGCTGCCCGTAGAAAATGTATGAAGTCAGAACTATTTAAAAGAACAGACTGGCTTCCTTGGCTAAACCACTTCCTTCACCATTTAGGCAGCTTTTATTTAGTAAAGTGCCCATCATGCCCCTCCTCAACCTTCAGTGACTACAAAGAGGTATTTTAGTCAAAACAAGGCATGAGGATTACAGCACTTGCAGTCTTCCTTCAGAGGGTGAAGGTTTTTTGCTGATAAGAACCGGAGAACAAGGCTGCTGCCAATGCCACAGCACCCAGCAAGAACTCAGAACCCCAAGGCTGCTTCTCTCCCCAAGGTTAAGGCTTCAACTTTACCAATAGGGAGCTGCCATTCTCCTCTGCCTCTCAGCATGTTCACCTGCCAAAGCTTCAGGGGTAACACTGTTGTTCTAGTTTATTATTCTCCTGGAAGTGTTCCTCCCAGGGTAAACCACTATGGAGTTGACAGGAATCAAACACTGCTTGCTATTAGGAGGAAGAAAAGAACACTGAAAAGCTTGAAGACAGCTTTTCTGACTACTTGTCTCCTTGCATCCAGGAGAAATGCAGTGACAGTGCAAAGGAGTCTTCTGGTACCAGGCAGCCTACTTATCCAGTATAGGTTAGTGTGCAAACAAAGGATAAGAAGGATTTAGGCTGGATCTTTGACAGTGTTTACTAACAGGCTTGACAGTAATTTGCCTCAATCTTTGAGGAGCTTGCCTTTATTGATGATAAAAAGTGTGCAGACAGCAAGGATAATTATTTTCGATAGGGATGACACGTGCCACATCTCTACAGAAATAAAGATACACACACTTGATGGTAGAATAAAACATAAAAAGCCAAAAAAAGTCTGTGCCTACTACAGCAAGCACTGGCCAAATTTATCCTCATGAATCAAAGAGCCAACGTTGCATTTCCACAGGAGTAACAGCAGATGAAGGACTTTCTGCACCCATTTGAAAGACAGGAAGACAGCTGCAGCCAGGGATTAGGCCCAAGGGCTCGAGAGCACCAATAGATGTGCTGATTTGCAAGAGCTTCCATGAAAGAAGCAGCAATTTGAATGGAAAGGGGTCTGATTATACTACTCCACTTGGCAAGCCAAAGTACAGAGCTGGCCAGGGCAGAGGAAGGGAAACAGAGGTAAGAAACCTGAGCTCTAAGAAGACATTCCCTCGCTTAGCAGTGTTTGCTAGATAAGTAGAAAGCTTCTAATAATTTAGAGAACTGTAAAAAGCAGTACTAACATCTGCAAGTACAAGGTACCTGGCACGCAGCCACCCTCAGGCAGTTTTACAATTCAAAGTTCCTAAATTATTCATCTACCACCACTTGGCTTCCTGAACAACACCACAGTTACAACGTGTAAGTCCATAGGTGAGGATGGTGCCATAAAGGAAAAATAAAGTCCAAAAGTATTTTCTCCAAGTACTTTTGAACACCTGCACCGATAGAATAACTTTGTTTATTTCTCCTTTCTCCCTGCAACCCTGTTTTTCCCAGCAGTACCCTCACCCCTTCCTCCCTGAAGTGTAAGGGAGCTGAACAAACCAGGTCTGAAAGCCAGTTCACAGCTGTGAACATTCTTCTGTAGAGAAGAATCGGTCACATAACAGATCTGACAACAAACCCGGTACTGATATAACAAAAGGGATTGCTGGGCTACTTATTTTGCTTTCATGGTAGAATTTGAAAAGAGCTGCTTAATCAGCTTTCCTAACACTCTGAATAATTAGCAAGCAATCAAAGCCTTGCAAGATTTTTCAGTGGAGTATGGCACAAGCTGTTTTCACACAGCTTTTTGCTAATTAGTCCTGCAAACTATTTCATGCATAATTGCAGGAATTTAAATATATTTGTTCTCCTTTAGTCCCCAGGTGACTTTCATGCCTAAAGACAGAATTTCTTTGATTTTTTTTTTTAATTTCTGTATTGAAAAAAGCCCATGATAACATCAATAGTAAGGAAAAAAAACCCATATACATCATCTTAAAGTTGTCTTTCCTTTAAATCCTTTCAATCCCAATAGGAATTATATTCCTGTCTTCCTTAACAGAGGTATAGAGGTAAGAGGACTGAACAACTACCTATCAACACATTGTTCTAGCTTGTTTCAGCTGAGTTCGCTTCCTGGGGTCATGGAAACCTTTCGGAGAATATTCTACCCAAGAACCATGTATAGGAGATCACTGTTACAGCTTCCAGAGAAGTTGGCAAGCCTGAGCTCAGCTGATCCAGAGAAAACAACCCACAACTGCACACTATTAACGCAACACCAGGGTTCTGCAAGCAGCTCTTCACTCCTGCAATTAATGCACAACAGATGTCTAAAAATTGCAGTACATGTTCTGCATTTTCAATCTTTAGGGAATGGTTTGTTCTCCAACAGAAAGTCAAAAACATGGCTGTAACACAGCAGTGCTAAGAGCCTGTGCTGTGAGGAGAGCTGAAATAGGAGTAATATGGACTCTGAATTAGCTTCCAAGTTATTTCCAAAGATTAGCTGAAAATTATATGCCTTCAAGACTTCATAATCAGCACAGCTTCATGCTTTCTCCTTCAGCGACTATGGACATGTCAATCTGGACTGCTACACTGAGATGGCAAGTGTCTAAGGTACCAAGTAACTTGAAACCTCCTTAATGCATTTTTTAGGTAGGTAATTGCTTTGCAGTTAAGGCAGTGGACATAATCAAGAATCCAAACACACATTACCAAACACGGAGTGCATCACAGAACCCTCTTTGGGTTCTAATCTAAAAACAGATGGCGCTTTGTTTCCTCTAAAAGTTTACAGACCCCATGGCCTCATATTGTACACCTTCTGTAATCAAGGCACCCAACACAGCACTGCTAAAAGCCTCTCATCTCCCCTAGAATGACTATCCTTAAGTCAATCTGACTTTTGAGATCCAAAAGGAAAGTTCATGCAGCTGCACTGAGCACTTACTAGATAATGGATGTATTTAGGGCTTCTAAATAGGACTTGCAAGTTTTCAAAGTGATTGCAGAAGATAAATACTGTAATCAAAGTCCTTGTCCCTCCAAAGGCTTGTGAAATTGTACTAAATGCTTCCTATTATTGGTGAAGGTTATTGGAGAAGGTAAGAGCTGCACTGATTCTGGAGGTCCTAGAATGGAAGGTCAAGGATCAGCCTGCTCAAATACACAGCTGACATAAGGTCAGTCTGAAGTGAATGCAACAGCCTTAGAGCTGGCCAGTGTGTCATCACTTTAATAAACTAGTTATGATGTGCTCTCCCCAGTAATAAGTTTCATTAGTTTTCAATCAACTTAAGGCACTTCAAATAGGAGTAGGCACTTTAAAACTAATAGCCACCCCGTGTTCATTATAAGTGCACTGACACAGCATAAAAACCATTTCCTTCCTGTGACCCCCAGGAGATTTCCTCCCTAAGAGAAAGGGAGTACAAGAACATGAACATGTGCTGACTGCATCCTGGGAGAGCCCTGCACAACAAGGCTTGGTCCTAACTCCAGGTACCTGGGATGCTAACAATAATGAAGTGCTTGACTTGGAACAGGTTTATTTTATCAAAACTGCCCTCTGACATTCATTTGCACCCAGGTTCAAGAAACACACTGTGCAGAAGAATGGATAAGGGCAGCTCTTATTCCTATAATACAGGTCAACATGGAAAAAATATACTTACTCTTTGGTCAGAAGCGGGCAGGATTTGAGTAGAAAGCGGGCCAAAGCAGAGTCCTGGTAAATGAGTTCAGGAGGGGCAGTTGGGCTTTTTAAATTCAAGCAGCGAACAATAACGTACAGCACAGCAGCAACTGCAGCCAGCTTCACCCCATCAAACACTGCCGGCAGCTCAGAGGTTTCCAATATTGCACTCATTTTGAGCCTGGAGATAAAAAAAAAAAAATTAAAGCTTTTAGAAATATACTGTTGGATGTATCAGCTGTCATGTAAAATACACAACTGTGCTAACCAACTAAATTTGTTAGTCAACACTGCTAAGAAATCCTAGCATGTCAACTCAGCCTAGCAACTTAAAAGACGAAGGGAAGTTTAGTTTGTACTGGTCTGAGCACCCTGACCAACAGAAGGAATAGAAACTGGATGATCGACTGGGAAGGAGATTTATTCTTAATCAGTGCTGCATTACAACTGAACCAGTGTCTCAGGTGTCAAGCCCTAGTCTGCAGCCAGTCAATACATTCAGGATCTTGCACAAGACTACCCACAGCTCAAACAGAAGCCAGGTAAAAAGTCAGTCTGCAAAAGACACCTTAGCAGCTTTTGGATGTGTGTTTCTTCACAGATATACAAAGCAGACTTGAAAATGAGAACCTGAAAGAACTACTGTGTTAGTTCCTCAGCCTGAGTTTTGTAATTCCATGAGAATACTGGTACTAAATCCTGCCTCTCTTTAAGGTAGTCACTTTATGTACTGGCAATTTCAGCATTTCTTTTAGTTCACTGCAGTTCTGCAGCTGAAGGACTAGATGAATACCTAGTCTTTCAAGGGCTTCAGAGTAAAGAAACACAGGCAAGAAAAAGAGTTAAGAAAACTATATCCTTCCAGCTTGAAATCAAGTTCTTAAACTGATTCGGCTTTTTTGAACACACAGTTCAAACAGCTCGCTGCAGTTGTTGTTGAAGGGGCAGGTTTTTCCCTGGGTCTTTCCTCATGTCATATGGGTAACCCAAGTAAAATATCAACTGACAAGCCAAGTCTTACCAATTTCAAATTTTCCCCAAGCTAGAAAAGACTGCCAGTCCTCTGTAGACTTGTCACTTTCTGGATCCACGTGCTACAGGAGTTACCCTGTGAAGGGAGGAAAAGCAAATTGATTATTACTGACAAAGCTGCATCTCTCAGCTGGAAAGGATAAACACAAATTTATACAAAAGGTCCCACCACAGACATTGCTAGTGATTTGTGTAGTCAGTCATAGCCACTTCAACTCTGATCCGTCTGCATTAGAAATCTGTTGCCAGTGGACAGATTCCAGACTAGATCACTTGCCTCCAGCATATTAATTCATCTGCAGTAAATACACCTTCATGAGCCCAGACAGATCCCATCTCCGCAAGACAGTGCTGAGTTAGAAATAACTACCCTAATCCCTTGGTATTTAAAAGACCAGAATTTACTGTTTTACTCAACTTTGAGCAATATCTACACTGTTACTGAAGTGTGAAGCGAGACTGAAAGAAGTTTCCTGCTACTTTTATTCAGGCTTAGCAAGGCAGCTCACTCCTACAGATGGAGGCTTGTAAACAGTCTCTGCTTGTTCCCACACTTGCTTTTTGAGATGTTACAACATATCACACTTCAAGACCGTGAGAGCCACAGGAGGCTCAGACACAGCCACCTAATTAATACCAGTGCACATGCAAGAAGGCTTGTTACAAGAATTTGATGATGCCAATAAAGGAGAGAGCTTTCAGCCTGTGACCGTAAAAGTGTAAGTGATATTTACAATTAGGGCTGGCCTCCTACAGGCACAACAAATCGATGGGGAAATCAGAGCTTCCAGGAAAAGCTCCAGAACTGTCTGCTCCCTACCACAGCTGCTGCTTCCAAATGGAAAACGCACCACCAGGACAGACCATATCAAAGCTTTATCCTTCCTAGCAGGAATGAAGAGCATCAGAAGTACTTTCTGTACTCAGTGCAGCTACACCAAAATCCCTTGGAAGAAAACACAAGTGACATCAGCTATTGATTAACAGTGTGCTGGAAAGCTGCAAGTTTCTGCCACCGTAACCATATGCATCACAGAACAGAAGGTGAAGAAAGAAGAGACATTTAATTTTGGACAGCTCTGAAGCTTTTATTTTCCAATTCTAAGCGTCACAGTAGAAGGGAGCAGAGTGGACCACAAAAAGACATCTTCTATTCAGAAGATTACATTGGTATCACATATCTCAATGAAGAGTTCAAGTAACATGTTCAGCTGTATCATGTCCGCACTTATATTTTCAACAACCTTACCATCAGTTGCATAGGAAACAACAGGCGAACTACAGAAATGGCTTCCCCAGGGGAGGTACAACTGGCAGAAGAGCAGACCGAGCTCCTGAACTCCAGGACAACCAGGTGCTCAAGCAAACCTTTCCCAGCTCAAACTCCCAGGAGTTCTGTTGTCATCTTCCTTTCATTGTTTTATTTAGAAAATTATGAGACACTAATATAAGAGTTACCTCAGACCTCCCTGCCACCTGGATTTTAAGCTAGTTTGCTATTTACAGCTTTCACCTTAGTTAATTTGTTAAAAATAATGCCAGGCACAATTAGTCATCAGGATTTTGTACCAGTGAATCAGTGTAACTGACCCAGCTAAGTCCTATCTTGCCGAGAGCGCTCTCTCCCATATAATCTTCAGATTACAAATGCACCACGTCTTTTCTGATACTTTTATGTCTCATTTTAGCCTGTCACTCCCTTAAAACAGCATACCAGCTTGATATTACTTACAGAAAAATCAGCTGTTGGTAGGCAGGATTATGCTTTGACACTTGTGAACTAGTACTTTTCCATTTTAAGACATTCTAAACACACATTCACTGAACTTACGCACCTCAAACATGTGCTAGAGGATCATGTATTTGTCAGGATATTCACCCAAAAGCTCAGATCAGTCTGTAGATGTAACACAACGCTGGCAGTGCTGCTGCAGTTGCACAGGTATCTGCAGTGATTATTTAAGCAACGGATCTAAGTGCATGAAGACCAGATTGGTAAACTCCAAGCCCTATGGATCCAGCTGGGGCACTTCAGGTACTTCCTCTAGAGTTTAGTATTTCTGAAGACCTAAACAGACCCATCTCAGCCAGGGCAGATTTGCAGGGGCTGAGTCAAGGCACTCTGCTCTAAAATTTCAAGGGTTTATCTTAATAAAATGGATTTGAGCTCCGCCTCTAATCACATAAGACAAATACCTCCCTCTTCACCAGCTGGGATAAGGTCACCTTGCTTCTGTTTTGTTAAACCTTTTTTGCACTGACCCAATAAAACTTGTCTGTTTATGAAAAAGGACAGATAACCACAGTGTTGAGCCAGACAAATTTTAATCTAGAATAATCTCTAACAGGGTCAGCATTAATTTAAATGCACAAACATTTGGTCTCTTCTCTATGAAGAACACTAGATTCACTTCTGGCAGGTTAGACAAAACTAGCAGGAGGCAGTAAGTATACTACTGGAAGCAACCAAGCCTGCCTTTCTATCCATAACAGGGTTTGAGATCCACATTGAGGAACACAAAGAATTTGAAACTCTTGGCCCCAAGGATGTTATTTTGAAGCACCTTAATTACACCTTTTTTTTTTATTTATTTAAAAAAGTATCACTTATAGGCATAACAGCCCCCAAGACCAACAGCCCTTCTAAGTAATGAGCTTAAATCCCAATTGTGACTGAGAGCTAACTTTAAAATCAATCAGTGGAAAGCAAGGGTTGGATTTGTGGTCTTTTCATTTGTCCATTCATCACAAAAAGCTGAAAATCAGGAAACATTTCAGCACTACTGCTAGAGTGCACTTCACCTGTACAAGTATAGTGAAAAAAAAAAACACAAACATATTCCCCCCTTTCCAGACAGGAATAGAAACAAGTACAACAAAAGCCAGTAGAGCTACAGCAATTTCCTTACTACCCTTTCAAAGACACTGGGTTTTGGAAAAGCCATCAAAATATTTACTTGTACAGTAAGTGAATTCACAACTGTCAACAAATCCAGGACCTGTACACGTTTCAGTTACAGGTTTCCCATGGAGAGGAAACTCTTCCAGGGACAGAAGTCACTTCACGCTGTGACTTAAGGTGGCATAATCGGGATTTGGTAACTACCAAGCATTACAGCTCCTCCACCCATGGAAGCAGAGTCTGACTCCGCATACTGGAAAGCCAACATTAAAAAAGCAAAGACATTAAAGGAAGCCATTCCCACAGGGCCCTTCCCTCAAGCCTTTTAACGAGTCACTGAAAGCCTCATTTCACTAAAGCACTGGGAATGCTTCTGGCTAAAGCAAAGATGCAGCTATATGGAACAGACAAGAGCAAAGGCCTCTTTGAAAGGGACTCCACCAGCAAGATATTTTATGCTCCATTACATTGACTGAAGAATCTTGAACGAATGCCTTTTCCAGGAATGGCAGCTCAGTACAAAAGCCTCATGGCTGCCCTCCCACCAGTCAGCACTCTGGCTCAATGGTGCTCTCAGAGCTCAGCTGGACACCAAAGCGAAGCATGCCTGGCCAACACTGGAAGTCTTTAAAAATCCCCTTTCTTATGCTTTTACAGCTTCTACCAAGTAGTATAATACTCTCTCTTACCCACAAAGATTCAGAAGAGCTAAGAGAGCTGTCTGACAGACTGAGTAAACAGACTTCGTTAACTAATGCACCACACATTTCTTGGACTGGTTTAATATATTTTTAGTGTCCACATGGGGAATAAAACTCAAAGAAAGTATGTTAGACAAGAGAAAAGCAAATCCACCCTTCTACTTTAAGAAGAATTGTGCCTAGACAGATCAGAAGTCAGGTTTTTTTACCACCTCTTTGAAGGGAAAATAATGGCTGTTTCACTGAAATTATTTCTTTGGGGAATGTTTCTAGGAAATTAATTGTCTTTAATATCAACCAAAGCTAATGCCTCTTCTGAAAGATACACTGCAAACCAGAAATTAAAGGCCTGTCACTACTAGGTAAGATATTTAGAACCACATTATGGAGAAGGGAACTTAAGGAGAGGGTTGAGAGCCAGAGCAGTACATAGTTTTTCAAAAAAAAAGGAAGGTTTTATGTATATTGCTCAAATCTCACTCCAGGAAGTATACAGAAATGTCACATCACTGAGCATTCAAGGGTTTCAGTGCAGAGGAAGATGTTTTGAAACCATCCAGAGGAAGATGAGAAAGGCTCTGAAGCCTGTGTCCTGATGGGAAAGGCTGCCAGACTTTTTGTAAAGCACTGGAGGGCAGTCTGAAGGCACACAATCTACATAACTACAGGAACCTGTTCAAGAGGAATTATGAAGAAAGCCTCAAGCTTTATTGTGCAGTCCCATATCCTGCCTTTTACCCAGCACTTGTATTAAAACATTATTTCCTTTCTATGAAAAAATGTCAAGTCTAACCTGCTACTTTGTTTCAAGAAAATTAAATAGATACAGGTATTTTAGGGCCATGCCAGCACTATACCTCATCAGCTTAAGCACACAAAGCAAGTCATGACACCAGTTATCTTGAGACTGGCATGTACCCAGCCCAAGCTTACCCAGAGCAAAACCTCCCATAACCTTCAGTGGAAGCTTAAAAAAAAAAAAAAAAAAAAAAAAAAAAAAAAAAAAAAAAAAAAAAAAAAAAAAAAAAAAAAAAAAAAAAAAAAAAAAAAAAAAAAAAAAAAAAAAAAAAAAAAAAAAAAAAAAAAAAAAAAAAAAAAAAAAAAAAAAAAAAAAAAAACACAAAAAAAAAACATGAGACAAGTGCTGAGATCATCTTGATGCATCACTCAGTACTTCTGGCCATTTCAAAGAGCCAACTAAGCCTCAGACCTCAGAGCACAGAGGGTATAATTAAGAATTAGCTGAGCACTTCAAGCACTTAAGCTTAGGGTTAGATGCGGCCATGAGAGATGAGACACAGTCCTCAGGAGTCCAGCAAAGCCCACCATGGTTTTGTTGTCCAACATCTGACAGATTTTATCTCCAAACAAAGAGGGCATACTGACATGTCCCCTCACAGGGATGCTTAGAAGAACACTACTTGGACAGCACATGGAAGTCCTTGGTGCAAATTCCTCACCTCGTGCCAGAGCCAGCACCCAGGCCAGGATTTGGCTGGTTGGCAAGTACACCAGCAAGTGTTGTTTACACCCTGTTCCAAAAAGAATTTCTTGGCTGGTGCCTTCACTGGAATTTGACCTTTTCATGAATTACAATACTTGGCTCCCACTCAGTTTAGAGGTACTGTGAGGTTACAGGGATAAAGTTCACATCCCAAGGCACCATTAGCACAGAAAGACAGGTGCCTTTAGCTGGAGCTTTTTCCTTTTTTGACTCTGAGGAATCCTACATCTTCAGAGTAGAAATCAACCACCTAAGAGGGTGGGTGTATATCCCAAGGCAACTTGCTTAAAAAAGCACCTGAGAATAATTCTACAGCCAACAGGGCCAAAGGATCTTTAGGTCTTTCAGTTCTTCAAAAAGGGCAATTTACAGTCAAACGAGTCTTGAATTTCACTTACTTCCAACTACAGGAACTGCCTTTGTTTCTTCACAATATCATTTTAGCTGATCAAAAATAGTTCAGCTGCCCCACAGGCAGCTTTTGTGTATCACCCAAGGAGGTTGCTATGTAGACTTTGTGTATGTTGCCTTATCTGGTTCCTCTTTGTCTCAGACAAATTGAAAACCACTACCTCAGATTTTATTGCACGCACCTAATGAACATGATTAAACCAACACAGAACAAGGCTCTGACTTCACAGAAATCAATTAATTGCAGTAATCAAATAACTATGTTTGCTTAGATAATGCAAGCCTTTCCTTTAAGATACAGAGACTTGAGACTGTCACACCCTAACCACTACCTTATGGAACTGCAGGGCAAAGCTTCAACTTCTTGGACAAGAGGTCAAGCTTACTTTCACGTAGAGGGGGAAATACTGGGTAACACCTTTCCACAGCCTTACAGTATTAGCTGCTTATCACACTGCCAGCGAGCTGCATCAAGCTCAAGGGAAGAAGTGGAGTAACCAGACTGTAGAGAACCTGACAATCCATATCCAGTAGGTGAGGGAATGATCCCAGCATCAAGCCATAGAGTTAGGAGAGCTAATAAAAACTACATTACAGACCAACATCCCCAAGGAGTCTGCTCTATTCCCTCACTATATTTTGAAGCACAGCATCATGTTGTTAAAGCCTTACTTACGTTCCAACCCCTCCATCCCCAGTTGCAGAGCTCAGCTGTTCATACTGGAGAAGCAGCTCAAAGTCCAAGCACATCACAACTGTTTGCTCAGCCACAGGGTCCACAGACAAGCAAGTAGGGAACATGCTCCACACCAGACCAGCTGCACAGCAAGGAAAGACCACCAAAGCACAACACAGGTAAGAGACCTTTATTCAAGATTGGTGCAGTTCAAGTAGTCTGAAAACACCTATACCTGACCACGATCCAAAGCTGAGGTGCCACTTGACTGAGGCCTTCAAACACCTTATTTTTCCCCTGACAAGTAGCTCCTCTCCACAGGGGAACAGAAGATTTGCAGAGTCATTCTCTCAGAGTCTGTTCATGACTGATAGAAGGCTCACACTAGAGAAGTCCAGTACATGTAATGACATTGAAAATGAAGCAACATTTCAGGACAGAAGAACTACATATAAAGAGACCAGACCTGACCAACACACAATTACCACCACTGCCAAGTACCCAGGTCCTACCAGAACGCCAACTAAAACAAGAGGTTTTTGAGCACTACAGTTACCAGCAGCTCCATGTTTAAAGAGCTACATTGCCCTGTCTCCTGCTGAATTCCAAGTGAGAGGCTATGGATATTATCGGCATACGTCTTAGGACATTTTGTACTTACCTCTTACAAAGACATTCACTGTAAGTGACTGTGCATCTGCTTATTTCACTTAGTGCAACCTTTCATAGTCACATACACCCAACCTTCACAGAACTGGGTGTTCCAGTTAAGGGACAGCCAGGCTTGAACACCCTCACCATAACCTTTCTGGAAACTGCAGCTCTATGCAAAAGGATCTTTGAAGATTTAAGTTTAGAAGCAGGACAAATTACTGAAGAATACCCTCTCAACAGCAGTCTTTTGTCCCCTTTTGAGGAGCCTGTACTATGCTTTTTGAGTACTGAATGTCCTGAATAGGGCTGTATCTCAGTTACTCGAAACTAATAGATGAGACACTTCAGAATGGTGTTGGCAAGGGCTCAATCAATATCGGTAGAGGAAGTTGTTACCGTCATTTACTTTAGTCAGACCAAACCCACAATGAAGGGAAACAAATATTTCTCAACAGCAGAGTAAGTGCGAGGTAACTGCACATCTTGGTCGATCCAGAGATAAAGATAAAAATCTGTACCCTGCCAAGTGTGACACCTCCTTCCACTGCCGTTACCTCTAACGGAGCGCAGGCACAAAGATGTTTCAAGCACCTGGTTTGTACAGAACTGCTTTGCAAAGCATTTTGAATTATTGCTGCCTGATATTGGCAGAGCAAGGTTGGCAGTCAGAGACAATCTTTATTATTGAGTCAACTGATACAACTAAAGAAAAGACAAGCCCTTGGGCGTACAACCCTTCCCAGAGCCAGAAGAGGCTCAGTTAGCTGCCTGGCTGGGTTAGCATCACTGCCACCCACATATGCTGGGCAAGTGGGGCTTTGCTTCTCCACCAGAAGGACAATGTGCCCTTGCACACTGAAATTAAGTCAACTGTTTGGTACTGCACTCAGTCAGCTGAGTTTGATCAGTCGTTTAACTGTATATAAGTTTAAACTTCACAAGATATTTAGGCTGAAGAAGGGCAAATATTTGCTCAGAAGATCAATTGTTCTATAGCACCCTAAGAATAGTAATTCAGAGCTATAACACCTCATGAAAGACTGTTCCAGAGAAACTCAAAAGCAGAGATGAAGATTCCAATATACTAGCAAAACTGTGATTATTCAGGCTTTCGCTGGAAAGTCCAAACCACCAGTTTCAGGCTGCACCTTTCACTAGGAATTATAAGCCCCCAGCTTATTATAAGATCCCAGCACTTACACCCCTAGCAGAGACTTTGCTAAACCCTGTACTTTGTTAACTTACTCCAAGTTTCAGTACTGCCAGGGCCAGCTGTTTGAAAGTAGAGATGAAGAGGCAAGACATACAGAGCAAAAGAGGGGAATAACAGGACAGTGTGAATCCAGCAGCATTCAGGCCATTTCAATTACTGACTGAGGTTAAACTACAGAAGGTTTGAATCACTGCTCTAAAGCCACCATTTCCTGTTGTGCACCAAATCACACCTGGAAGTAAAGCTGGAACTTGGTAGATTTGGACAACCTGTGTCAAGTACAGAGGATGTTTTTCTGCCTTCTTTCTTTCCCAGTGCCACATCCCAGAACAACTATTTCTATGTGTTAATCTCTGTGTTTTCCCATGACAAGTTTAATAAAGCAGCTTTATGAAACACTAAGAGCTTAAGCTGCTATTCATTCCCTGAATAGAAAAATATAGCTTTTACAAGACTAGAACAAATTAATTTTCAAGTTTAACTTCTTCAGAAACAGTTTTGCATGATGGAAGGACTTATCCCCAAACTCCCCATCTTTTCCACCCCTAAAAAAGACAGTTTGGCAATCTTAGATCAGCCCCATCTTCTGTGCAGCTAATTCACCTCTGTGCAAAAGCAACTATTTTTAAGAATAAGGTAAGAGAATAGAAGAAGCCAAACGTTAGCTCTGATTTCCCTTTTAATAACCTTACTGTTCTTACTCTTGACTTTGAGACCAAAATAAGACAGGCCTCGAATAAGAACACCTGCATGTCCACTGATCCAAGAGACAGGAGAAGGCATTGAAACTCCTCTTGTGACACGAGAGCTAAGCAAGCACCTAAGAGAGGACACAGGCAAAACAAGAAAAGATAACACAACAACCAAAGACTAGTTGTCAGTAACAAAACTCCCTGCACAGGAGATAAATGTTATCGAAGAAAGTCTGAAGATGAGATACCACAAATGCAAACAGCTGAGCTGAGTGTCCTATGAACACCATATCAGCAGGGACTAGGACATGTCAACCTAGGCAATATTACCAGTGTGGCTGAGTGTGATAATAATTGATAAATAAGGTCTGTAAGATGAACACACTGTACCAGTTAGCTGACTAACAAGCCACTAACATTTGTCACAGAATGAGGCACCAGTGTTGTAGAAGCCAAGCAGCAATCTGCAAGAGGCAGACAGGAATCTTTAGCGCTTGCCAGGCCAGTGACAACTGCACACCAACAATAAGAGGAAGCCGTGAGGAATTCTCTGAGGAGACCTGCATGAAAACGCAGAATGCAATCCCTCCAGCCATAACTGCGTGAATAAAGCTACTGCTGACACACCTCTTCAAAGAGGTTAGTGTCAGGTGAGGGATTTCATCAGCGGTAACAGATACACCGACCCACCGTGTGCTGGAGGAAGTCACAAGTTACACGTGAAAGTGCAGAAAGGAGCAGTCCCATTACACAGGCTGACAAGCAGGTGCATAGCACGGAACAAAAGGGAGCCTGAAGCTGATGCGAGATGCTCGTAGCACAGTCAGGACCTTGGAGCACCAGGGAAGAGGCCGCTTCGGGGGCACAGTGTGACCCGACAGCCGCAGGCACAGCTGCCCCGGCTCTGACCCACACACGGATCACCCTCTGCTCCGCACGGAGCTCCCCATCGCATCCCACCCCGGCCTTCCCTCCCTGCGAGCACAGGGATGTGCAGCTCCCGGCCCAGCTTCAACACCCCCAGGGAGGGCAGGGGACGGCTGCCACCGCATCACCAGTCCCAGAGCTTCCACCCCCGGGGAGAACCGGACACCAAACCCACAGCAGAGGGACACCCCACCTCCGCCCCGGGCAACAGACACGCGAGCACAACGCAAGGCGACTGAGCAGGGCGAGACCTGGCCGCAGGGCAGCTTGCTGGGGCCATGCACCGCCGGGGGAAGAACAGAAGGGAAGCCTGGCTACCCCCAGAGCCCCGCGGGAAGGCGCTCCCCGCCTCACCTGCAGGCCCGGCCGGGCGCACAGCCCCTCCGCTCCTCCCGCCGCCGCTCCCGCCCGTCTGCCGCGGGCCCGCCGCCCGCCGCCCGCCGCCCTTTACCGGCCGCCCTCGCCGTCCCATTGGCCGCCGCCGCGCCGCTTCCGCCCAGGGCAGCGCGGCGATTGGTCAGAAGGCCAGCTGAGGGCGGGAGCTCGCGCGCCCAGTGGAGACGCGCTGGCGCCATTGGCTGGGGGAGGCGCGGCGGGGCGGGATGCCGCGGTTCCATTGGCTCGGGCGCCTGTCAGTCAGGCGGAGAGCGGTGATTGGCGGTGGAGGGCTCGGGGGCGGGGCTGCCGGTGCCTGAGGGGGCCTGGGGGCGTCGCCGCCATGACAGAGCCTGAGGGAGGCACAGCTCCGTCTTCAGCCTTGCCGCTCCTGCCGCCGGAGCCAGCGCCCTTTGGTGGGGGGAGGCTGCGTGGGGAGCGGCTCCAGATGAGGGACACGTTCACCCCTCAGTGATACGGAGCTCTGTCATCCTGAGGGCAAAACCCCCTCCAGGCCGATGATGAGCTGGTGCTGGATGCTGGTTATGTAATAATGTGTTGCAACTACAAGTCATTTAGGAACAATACTTTAGCACCTTAAAAGTGGTGTCTGGGCCTTCACCACTCTGGCTTTGGTTGCCATGGGCCCACAGGCCGCCTGTGTGTGGCAAACACTGGGATCACCCTTGGGCTGTGCCAGCAGCAGGGAAGGGCCTTCCCTGGTCCCTCAGAGGCACAGGAGTGCCCGGCGTCCTCCTCACGAGTAGGATTTGTGACAGGGACAGCGAGATCCACTCTTAAGGTGGATGGATCCTGCCACGTTCGGGAGGCACTGCAGGGAAACACACGATAACAAACTGTCCGCAGTGCGACGTTTATAAACCTGCTTTTCATGTGTTACCCCGAAAGAGCCATGTGTTACGCTGCTGGTAACATCACCTGTTCTGAGCTGTGCTCATGGTTGCTTTATATAACTGGGTGGTAAAATCCTTCCTGTCATTTCAGACATTCTGGTTCCTCTGTTTACTGGGAGTCAGAGCTTCCTACGTAGAGAAAGCTCTCAAGGAGCAAGTCACATTTTCCAGGGCGCTGTGCATGTGGAGGGATGAGTAACTGCTGTAGCCTGAGTCATAGGGAAGAGGGAGCTCTGGGGAAGGGCAGAGAGGGAACTGCTGGAATGACGGTGGCAGAGCAAAGAGCGGCATCCTCTCCTCTATCGCTCCAGGTGTGATCCCGCACTACTCTGTCAAACACCAGTATTCCTTATCGTTTAGTTAACCTTGTGGGAATGCCCAGGGTTTATGGTTGCTAAATTTGTCAGCGACTCAGCTGGGCTGAGGTTTGGTGTGTCTCAAGGCAGCTGAGTTATGCTTGTGATCAAGGCACCAGATAGGCTCAGCAGATAAACATCCGGTATCAGGCTTAACTAAGTATTTCAGGAATGTGTTTGAGTTTGATTACACAAAATTGCAGTTCAATTGACTCCAGGTGTACCTTCGCTCCTTCATCATCAGATCCAGGCAGGAAAAAACAGATCCAGGCAGGAAAACATGCCACAAACTGGAGCTGAGCCTCCGGGCAAGGCTTTTGTTTTAAATCCTTGAGGCTGTTGGAGATTTCTCTGACCTGAGAGAAGCTCAGCTGTTAGAATACAGCTTTGTTATGGACCCTGCCACAAAGCAGAGCAAACCAAACTCTCAGCTGCCCACTTCTTGCTGAGAAAAAATGAAACATAGGATCATCTTTTACACCAGGGTTGCTCAGATGCATCAGTGAGGAATGAGAAACAAGAACTGGAGGGGACTTAACACTGGAGAGGTGGCAGCACAAATTCACAGGTAGCTGTGACAGCAGCAGCCAAAATCCTGAGTTTTGTTTACTGCAGTAAGAAGGGAAGTGATGGAAAAGGTGCCGTGTCTCCAGGAATGGGAAGGAAGAATCGGTGCAAGTCACTGGCATTTCACTCCGAGCAATGTTGGGGGGGGCGTTCCAGCTGTACCTGGGGTGGCTGGGAGGGGGCAAGAGCATTTTGGGAATACAAAGGGCTTACGAAGGGAACTGCCCTCCCTCAGGATATGCTGAGAGTTGTTCCGGCTGGCCTGCTCCGCAGGGCTGGCGCTTGGAACAGCAGTGTTGCCAGAGGTGGAGCGCTCCGGCCCTGAGCCAGGAGGGAGGCTGTGCCACTCAAGGAAACACCTCATGCTCAGGAAATGTCAGCAGGAGCCTGAACCATCCCGAGAGGAAGGGTGCTGGGAAGGGCCGAGCTTCACTCCCAGTCTTATAGGGAAGAATTTGGCAGCTCCAGCCCAGCAGATGTTTCTGCCTGATGTTAGTGCAGGGAAGTGGGATGGGGGTTCTAGAAACACCCTAATGCTTTAGAGACAGGAGGATCCTTCTCTGAGTAGTGTAGATACTGCTAAAGAGGCCAAATGTATGTGCAGGGAACTGCAGGCACTGGGAAAAACGCACTCTGCCTTGTACTTTGGGCAGGCAATTACCTCTGTACAGAGGCCAAAAAAAGACTGATGATAATTCCACCTTTTTAAACGCAGCAATTGGAAAGGTACCAGGCAGAGAGAACTCCACGTGCTGCTGAGCCAGCCTGAAGACACCCCCGTGCGACACCGTGGTGACAGTCACCTTTTGTTCTTCACATCCCTCTCTCTTTTTGGCTGTTGCTGCCACAGGGAACTCAAACTCTTTTTTCTGCTTCATTTCCCCCGGCCCAGCTTTTCTCCTGCTCAGCAAACACGCCGTGTGCTGAAGGACTCCCGTGGACTTTGCACCCCCGAGGGAACCTTTTTGCTGGAGGAAACATCGGGGTGTTCATCTCTGCCAGTGTGTAGCAGGGAGCAAAAACGAAAACATCTCTTAGGCAGGGCTTGATTGCCAGCTGAAAATAAGCAAAGTGCCTGTCAGTGACATGTGAGCACAAAAAAAGCTTTGCAGATGGAAATAAAGGCAATGCTTTTTTCCTCTTCTCCCGCTCTGCCTTCCCTGCAGTGCCAGCGAGGCTTTGGCTCGTGGGCTGCAGAGCCGTGCTGTTCCGGAGCCTGTTGGATCTGGAGGCACAGTGCTCTTTGCACTCTTACGTGTTTTCTGAAAATGGTGTCTAAAAACGTAATGGGCACTTTGCAGAGCTCTAAATAGCCCGGCCTCTGTCCTGAGGAGCTGGCGATGGGCAGGGGCAAGTTCCCGGGATGGGAGAATGGCTGCATCATACAAATCAGCCGGGGAGGTGGCACGTGTCCCACCTGCTCGGTATTTTTCCATCACATTCTCATTCAGCTGCTCCTTGCCAACTTCCAGCTCTGTCACGCTCCTCAAAAGCTTCTACTCTGGGTTTATTTAGCATGCTATTTATTTCCTAATTATAGAACTGAAGTGACTGACCTCAGTCAGCCCTGCTGGGTACTGCTATCCACCTTTTTGTCCCCTGTAGACCACAGGCTCTGGTCTCTAATGGCTGAAGGCCATCGCTAGAGACTTTTTGACTCTTTTTTTTTTGTTTTTTTTTTATCAAACCCAAGAGGACTCTGACTGCTAGCACTGGGAGCTTCACTGATCATCTCAGAGCAGATGGGCTATTGCATTCCCAAATTCTTTAGGCCAAAAGAGAAATGCCACTGAGCTGAGCACTTTACCAGGCTGTTCTCCCGCTGCTTTCTGTCCACAAATTCCCAACAGCCTTTTACCACTGCTTTTATCCCACATCCAGCCACAGCTGATGGATGGAGGAAGAGGTTTTGAAAACCACTCCTCAGTAACAGCAGTGCTGCTGGTCCTGCTTCTGGATGCTCCATGGCACTTGAATCCTGCCTGGCTCCACAAGCAGTCTCAGTGCTCTAGGAGAAGAATCCATCTGTATCTCCCTCAGATGAATCTATGCCACAACACTCCTGAATTTTCCAGGGAGTCTGGTTTGGTGAAATTTCTACCTTCTTCACCAAAAGCTGCCAGGCTGAGCAGACCTGTCCCCGCAGCCACTTCTAATGCCACCTCTTGTTTGCTCACACCCATTTCTGCCCCTTTATCACACATTTTGGTGAATCAAGACAGAGCTGCAGGAGCCAAGTGGTGCTTTGATGTGGCACCTGTCCCTAAAGCCACTGGCCCAAGCAGGGGGGTTCTGTGCAGGGGAGGTGGCATCAGAGCAGCAGGTGTCTGGCAGGCCTGGAGAGCAGGGAGAGGAGGCATCTCTGCTGGAAAGCAGGATGGATTTGAACAAATTGTTGTAGTAGAGCCAGAAGGATGTATGACTTTCTCCTGGAGTGTTTTCAAGATGTCAGACTGAATAAAGGAAGCCATTGGTCTTCTGTTTAATCCCAAGTGGTCTGTCTGACATTTGCCATTTTACTGTGTTCCTGAGGTTGGAGTTTGGAAAGACTATGATTATCCCGCCTCAGAAAGCTGGTGAGGGAGACTGCTAAAACCATATTTATTTATTTTTCAGTGGCTGCTTGTGAAATACTTTCTCTGGAAAATTTTCCATAGAAGTA